AGTCACAAAGGTGACGTCTGCGGGCGACATCTGCAGCAGTTAACCTCAAGGGCTGGGGATGCTGAAGAAGAAGAAGACCTTCTCTGAGATATTTGATGTGTTCATGCCTGCTGGCACGGCACCAATCATTGATGCACGGAGAGGGATAGTCGACGACAGGAGTTGGCAGTTTGACGCGCAAAAATGGCAGTTGATGGGGCATGGTGAAGCAGAAGTGAGCTAAGGAGGGAACTTAAAAAATGGAGAAACGGAGATCTGGGTGGGGGGTGGAGTTGAGAGCAAGCGATAAAGAAGGAAAATTGGGAATTAAGACAAAGGCAAGGAAGACAGTGTAGTAGGAGTAACAGTTAAGAAATCCTTTGGTCCTGTCATGAGCAGAAAACCCAAATACATCATGATAGTGCAAAGTTAAGCGCAGAAGGGGGGGGGGGGTGACTGAGGGAGGCCGAGAGAGAAGATGCTAGGCAGTTTGACATGACATGGAAAATCATCTGTGTCAGAAATGATTAAAAGTACATGGAGACATAAGATTGTGGATGGGCATGAAAGCCACACAAGGCATGGACTAGAAGTAGTAGTTGTTGGGGGAAGAGGCGAAAAACACACCTGGAAATCTGTAGAGTTTATCACAGCCATATCTGAGCGAGGGCCATAACCTGCCCTGTTTGTTCAACCATCTCCGACCATGATAACTCCTCCAAGCCGGGGAAACTGCTTTCCCAAACTGGCGACGGTGTTATTTTCCACCAGCTGGGCCATAGCACACCTGTCTGGAATTGCTGACTCGGACAGTTTTTCCTGGCGCTTGGGGGGGGGGGGGGGGGCGGGATGTAAGATAACACAGCTGTGTCGGCGCGGAAGGTTATCTGTATGAACTGGGGTTGCTCGTCAGTGGGACATTCGTGTTTACTGTGATGTAATCTATCTCTAGGAGAGACGGGGAGAGGATATACTTTTTACATTCATGACCTCATATATGTGTTTATGTTGGGAGACTTTCGTCATCAGCTGGCTGGCTGGTTTGATGATCTGGGGAAAAAAGGTTCAGCCAGCTCCATTATCAGAGGAGCTTTTGGTTATAGTTTTTCTGTCATCACCTTATTATTGTGTCATTTATACTTCAAATGGGACTGTTGCATCATTCTGTTCTATCCTATACAATCATTGCGATATCTAGCATGGAATCCAGTCCATCGGTACCTTTGGCCTCTCTCGCCAACTTTCATTGTATAGTTTCTCTTGAGCGTCCTTACTTCAGCCTATATTGTTTTCTAATTGCAGTGCCTGCTTGGTGATTATTAACGTGCTTCTCCTCGTGATCTGATTGTATCCGCCTCGTCTTTCTCTTAGTGTAGGGCTGTGCAACTAAGTTTTCTCTGGGGCCAAAATGGGGATCGTTAGGGCTAGAGGCCTTAGCCCCAGAATAGAAAAATAATTAGTATTCCGCCGCCACTCGCCAGGTATCAGTTGTTGGCCAGTTGAATAACCACGGCATGGGTATTGCTTCTGTCAGTAAATGTCGCAAGGTGAAACAACGTAGGTCACGTTCCATTTATAACTTTTTTGGACTGATCCACTTTCGTGGAAGTTACGGGTGTGTCCCGCTTTCTTGTTTGGTTTTGACATACTGGTTGTAAAGACGTCCGAGTCGCCGCCTATCCCGTTTGCTAGAACCGCACTTTAATCCAAATCCAGACACTCTTGAATGTTTCAATTAGTGTATCTTCAGCCAGTAGCAGTCATGGACTTTCAAAACATCCAGTCAATGCATATTATTTCCATCTGCGGCGCGTGTGAAATCAGCCAACGCCTTTTTCAGCTGGGGAAGACGTTGAATTAACTATATCCCCCATTCAGCCGCGCTACTACACAAACAGCATACCCAACAACAAATCCTCTGCAGTGTTGCATCACAACGGCCCGGTAACAGATTTCGGCGCTTGAATTTTTCATGCAAGGCTCAAGAGCGAGGGGTCTGCCGTGGAAAGTGATCTGTGGTGTCCCCGCCGTATCTAGCACATCTACATTTTTGATTGATGCACCTTTGACCCCTGGATCTGCTGAGCCTTAAAACCTGGCGTCCAGGCCCACTAGTGTACTTGATCTGATCCACACGCTGAAGGTTACCACTTGTCAAATAGAAAATCTCCTACCGAGAATGGCGGGGGGGGGGGGGGGGGGGGGAGGAGACATCCGACCTCTTGTTAGGTCACCGCCTCATTGATTTTGTTGGCGGGCAGGGCTGTCTATTGTAGGTCGGCAGACGACAGGAAGGTCACTGGCGCGTTCTGTTCCTTTAGATTAGGTGCACGATGTTAGGCTATAGTTAATTTAGTAGTTGTTAGAGGGCGCTAGATGTCAGTGGTAGTTAAAGGAAAGAGAAATGAAGTTGCTGACGGCACAAGATGTGGATAATGATTACAGGCAGAGATTAAACTAAGTCATCACCATTCAAGTCCAAGTGGACTTACGTCATTGCCACCATGCCCCAAATCAAGTCTCAACTCACTGCCACCATGCCCCAAGTCCAGTCTCAAGTCACTGCCACCATGCCCCAAGTCTAGTCTCAAGTCACTGCCACCATGCCCCAAGCCTAGTCTCAAGTCACTGCCACCATGCCCCAAGTCTAGTCTCAAGTCACTGCCACCATTCCCCAAGTCTAGTCTCAAGTCATCGCCACCATGCCCCAAGTCTAGTCTCAACTCACTGCCACCATGCCCCAAGTCTAGTCTCAAGTCACTGCCACCATTCCCCAAGTCTAGTCTCAAGTCACTGCCACCATTCCCCAAGTCTAGTCTCAAGTCACTGCCACCATTCCCTAAGTCCAGTCTCACTAAAAATGCCCTATAGTCCGGTCCTGAGTCAAGCCACTTCATATATCAAGTCATTTGCAAGGCATGCATGGGAAAATGCTTATTGATCAATCAGATATGGCGATTATATGAAACCTGAATTGGCAGTGTAAAAGCTCAACAATATATATATATATATATATATATATATATATATATATATATATATATATATATATATATATATATATATATATATATATATATATATATATATATATATATATATCAGGTAAAGTCAAATGTGAAAGCTTGAAAAGTCAAATGTGAAAGCTTGATAAGTCAAATCAAAATATATTCCATCCTGTTTTATATGAAAATGTTTTAAATTTTGACGTTGGTCATATTGCAAAGAAGGAATTATATAAAGTAGTGACAGCTGCAGGCTGTTAATTGACTGAAGTCACAGTAGAGTCCAGGTCCAGGTAGGGGCACTTGAGTTCAGACCTCTGATTGCAGGTGGCTAGTATGTGTACAACATAATGCACAGCCGCAAAATGCTTACAGCGGCAAAATATAACCAGTAACTAGAATAACTTGTATACTATTGCTCATCATTCTCCCAATAGGACCCCATCTTGCACATTTGTTTTATCTGTTGGTTAAATACTTAAATACAGTTGAAAACAGAAGTTAATAATTCCCCAACTTTTTGTGTGTGGTCTTAAAACGGAAAGCGATGGTAAAGTTTAGCCAAGAGAAAAGGTGGCATAAAATAAATGACTGTACATGGGCGTCATAATCCTAAATATAGCCATGGCTACAGGATGGGGGGGGGGGGGGGGGGGAGATAGATGTTGTAGGATCTAGACAACACACATGTAGATATTAGAGCAAGGCTGTTCAGCTAAATTTATTCAGGGGCCCATATTTACAAAATCGATATCGCCATAGACCCCACTCCCAGCATTGAGGGATCACTAATACAAGTGGCATATGATCGGCTGGTCACTTTCAAGAATTCTTTGGGCTTGATTTGGCCTGTGAGCCACCTGTTGAATAGCTTTTTATTAGAGGACCTTATATATTGACGTTAGTCTTAAATTAGAGAAAGGTATATTTTTAGAGGGCAGTTTCCAGTGTGATTTCCCCGGGGGAAGGGTGGGGGGGGGGGCTGTAGAGACACAATTCCCCCAATCCAAACAAGCTTACCATAAAAGCTGACAAATTGTGTTTCTTTTAAATTTTGGGTACATCTGCCTGAGAGGTGAGAAACTTACAGTCTGCATACAAATAAGCAGAATCTGTAAAATAGATGTGCACATAAAATTCAAGAGCCCAGACGTGGATGAACAACTAGAACTTTCCACCAGAGTTTACAGCCGGTGAATGCAAAGAAGAAGAGGACAGTAGACAACATGTAGATGTTAGCGGGTACTAGACAATGCTTGAAACTTTGCATGTAGATATTAGTTACCATTTGTTTTCTTGTCCTGTCACAATTACCCTTCTTGTTGCTTGGATGCAACACAGTTTTAAAACCGGAGGTCTCTCTACTGAAGATGTTAAACTGTGTGCCTAGTGCTCTAAAGGTTAAAGGATTGATTGTGGTCTCTGGCCTTAAGTTAGTGATGCAGGTGTTACTGAGATCCCATGGGGGTCATCGATGCTTGTCACAAAGCAGTCGTGGCAGTTGACCAGCCACTCTGTAAAGACAGGTCAAGCTGCTTGAAGTAAAAACTTGCTGCAATTAATTTGATCTTCTTGCCTTTAAACACACTTTAAACCTGCAAATGTGTGGAAGTATTCATTTGTTAAATCTTCTCATTGTTAATTAATTTCACATGTTTCTGCACTACACATGAAAATTGTTAGCATCTGTCCATCTTTCCAGACGACAGTGTATTATGCTTTAGGAATGTGTAGGAATCACATGTAACAATCATGTCAGATGTGACTAGCAAGCAAACTGGTCTCAGTAAAGTCTTCCATGCTTAGAACACAGGATTTCAAGACCATTGTTGCCATAAGCTGATCTAGTGTGCTAGAAGCTCAGCTCTTAACCTCTCCTCAATCATTTTTGTTTATCCTTTATTCCCGTTCCTGATGTTTCTCCTCCTGATCCATGGCCCATGGATCCTTGTTTCTGTGAATGATTAATGCTGCCGTAGGTGAAATATTAGTATTGTTTTAATTGGTCTTTTTCAGATGAACGTGAGCTGGTGCAGAAGAAGACTTTCCAGAAATGGGTGAACTCACACCTGATTCGGGTCAACAGCAAAATCCAGGACCTGTATGTGGATCTCCGGGACGGCAAGATGCTGATGAAGCTGCTGGAGGTTCTCTCGGGCGAGAGGCTGGTGAGTCCTGAACATAGAGCATGTGTTGGAGCAGTGGTTTCCATCTTGTGCTCTAAGGCAGGCATGACAAACTGGCAGCCTGGGCAACATGTGGCCCTTTTGCAAGCACACCTGTGATGCAGCCCGTTCAAATGAAAACATCTGCAATAATTTTTTATTAGGAGCCAGGATGAAAATTTTTTACACATTTTTATTCACAATATTAGACCAATTATTTTCTAATGGTCATTTTTAGTGATATATATATATATTGATGTATTGTTTGTTTACACTGTAAGTTGTAAAAAGTAAACATTATGGTTGCCATAGTAACAGCCACATCTTAAGAAGAAAAACACAGGAGCAGAATCCTAAAATTTCAGAAACAAACATAAATATTGAGAAATAAATGATTTATTTGTGAACTTAAGTAAAATTTTAAGACTATGAAATAGTTTATTTACTTTAAAAATGATTCTAAATACTATTTTTTTTAGAATTGTCAAATATAAATATGTTGAAGCAACCACAAAATATATAGCATCATAAGGCATTAACAATTTAAAAAAAAAAAGGGGGATTTAAAAAAAAAATCAAATATGTATTTTTTTTTTATAGTTCATTACTGATAATATTGTTGAAAGAGTTTGAACACCAAATGTCATGTTTCTAGTCTTTATAATAATTGAGATTTCGGGATATTAGATGAACAACAGATGTGAAAAATATAGCTGTGAGAAAATTGAATTATAAACTTTTTAAAGTCAAATAAAATAGGGTTCATATAGACGGACAGTTTTATTTTGGTTCTGCATCACACACAAAGAAAATGTCACATACATTTAACAACTAAATGCACCAGTAACATAAAGTTTGCTTTCTTTTATTCAAGAGAGAGAGTGTGAGACAGAGCCATTATAAATTTAATAGCAGCGGTAGAAAAATTTCCCTAAATTCACTGAATTGCCAAGTTTCCTTTTGGTCTTGTTTGCTTCTTTTTTCCAAAGCTGCCTCTCTGTGGGTTCCGGGGCCTCATTGTGTGAAAAACAAGAATAGCCCCATGGCCTCCCCAACAAGCATGTCGTAAGAGTCAGCTAATTAGGAGCTCTCTTTGAAGTCAGAATATATCTGCCTGAGAGGCAAGGAGCCAGGGGTCTGCATACAGATAAGCCAGATCAGTGAAGCGGATGTGCACGCAACACTCAGGTTCTGGAACAGAACCAAAGTCTGGAGGTGGAGCAACATCTAGAACTTTCCACGGATGTTTTCAGCCGGTGAATGCAAAGAAGATCAATAAATGAAAATATATTCTTTAGTGTGACTACTAAAAGGTATGGGTTTCATGGCAGACCTCTGACAATAACAAGTCTGCAGGAGAGAGAGTTAGTCTTGGTGAGTGTCTATACATGGTCAGTTAAGTTGTCAAGAACCTTGTTAACTCTGCAGCTGCGTCAGGTATATGATGATAGACTGTTATTTTTATTGACCCATCGGCACTCGATTTGTGATGTGTCGACCTGGGAGCCTAGATACATTATTTTCTGAATGCACCATGTGGGGATTTGAACCTGAGATGTTTGGACCAGCAAGTTGGAGGCTGCATAAATATATACATAGACTTCGTGCTGACTCTTTGAGTCGTTGGTGGAGAAATTTGTGTCAATATTCTCACAACCCTTTTGGGCTGTGCAAAGTGTAGATACTGCTCACCTGTCTTGATTTCAATGAGTTCCTGTGACTTATGTAGTTCCCCAGCTGAAATTGTTACTTGTTATCACATAATTACCTCATCAGCCATGTTCTGCATGATAAACAGCCATTTTGTAGAATTTTATTCTCCATCATATTCTCCATTGTTTTTTTCCCCCCCTTTATATTTGTGTCCTCCGTTTTAACACAGTGTCACTTTCTGATGTCCTGTTTGTCACTCCCCCACTTTGGTCGTCATTTTCAGATGTCTTCTATTTAGGTGTATATTCACTTTGTATCCTGTATCGTAACTCTCTCTGTTATAAATGTCTGGATGTTGGTATGATGTCCTGTCTTTAGCTTCTTTCATTCTTTTTAACTCTTTTTCTCAGTGTTCACAGGCTGTAAACTCCAAAAGACAGTTCTGGTTTATTGTCTAGTTCTTGACTTTAGTCTTGCTCCAGAACCTCAGTTTTTTGCTAATATATTTTAACTATTTGTATATGTCTTAGAGTGGATAATATTTCCGATCTACATCCTCAAAAATAAAAAATAAAATCCTTACCTGAAGAGATGTTCTGAATTTAGTTTCTGTCATGACCATCGTTCTGATTTGTCATGTCCTCAGCCTCGACCAACCAAAGGCAAGATGAGAATCCATTGCCTGGAGAATGTTGACAAAGCTCTGACCTTCCTCCACGAGCAACGGGTTCACTTGGAAAACATGGGTGCTCATGACATTGTGGACGGCAGCGCCCGGTTGACCCTGGGTCTCATCTGGACCATCATCCTCAGATTTCAGGTAAGTGCAGCATTCCATCATAGGCTAGTGACTAGTGAGTTGATTTGAGTTAATAACTTACATCGTAACACATGGGACATAACTGCTCTGTCCCCATCTTCAGCAGCCAGTGAAGTTGCAGTTCTGATAGTACCAGTAGAAGTCTGATTGTATGTTCATCTGCCTTTTCCTTGTAGTTTGAAAGAGATAAAGCAGGAAGTGTATTTGATAAACATTTCTCCTTTCTCCACTTGCTTCTTCACCTTTCCAATATGGATTTTTGAAAAGGGGCATTTTTCAGTTTATCAGAATATCAGAAACACTGCAACCAGCACTCACATCGTTAAAAAAAGAAGAAAGAAAACGCCATATCTTGTATCTAACCCATGCCATATGGCATGGGTAATCATGACCAGCAGCAGCCTTCTGTCTCAGGTGCTGTCAGTCATTTCTGATTCTCCCTGTGTGAGTTCTGGGGCCCTATTGTAGGGAAAACTAGAATAGACCCACTGCCTACCCAAAAGCATGTCGTAAGAGTCGACTAATTGGGAGCTTCCTTTGAAGTTGGAGTGCATCTGCCTGAGAGGAAATGAACCAGGAGTCTGCATACAAATAAGTCAGATCTGTAAAATGGATACACAAGCAACACTTAGGTTCTGAAACAGGACTGCAGTCCAGAAGTGGGCGAACAATCAGAAATTTCCGCCGGAGTATACAGCTGGTGAACGTGAAGAAGAAGAAGAATTTCTGATTCAGTTAGTCTTCCGTGCCATGATACTAAATTGCCCAGTATCTTTTTTCCTTGGCCTTCCTTTCTTTCTCACCTTGGTTGACAATGATAGATTACAGTTTGGTCATCATTGTTTTCACTTTTTTTATATTCCAATCTTTTCTTAGTGTTACCTTTTCAGATGCTTTTGTTAAAAATTTTTTTTGGCAAATAACAAACCACGTCTACTTTGAAACATGGTCATATCTGACCTATGCTCTTGATATCCTCCATATATTCAACATGATCTTCTCCTGCAGATTCAAGACATTACCATTGAAGAGTATGACAACAATGAGACCAGGTCAGCCAAAGATGCCCTCCTGCTGTGGTGTCAGATGAAGACCGCAGGCTACCCCAATGTGAACGTACGCAACTTCACCACTAGCTGGCGGGACGGCCTGGCCTTCAATGCCCTGATCCATAAACACAGGTAGGGAAGACGTTAGCTGATGGTTGATTTGATCTTTGTGTCTCCTTCAAGAGAGCTGCAGCAAACATCTCCAGCACTGTGGGGATGTGTTTTCATTTATCCCTTTGATATAACAGACTGTTGTTATTTTGTTACATCCAGCAGCTTATTCAGACAAACAGACCAGTATGCAGAGTGCTGAAACACTTGCAGTGGTGCACCATGACCAGCAGGACTTAGACTGAGCCCTATCTAAACCATGGTCATCCTAGAAACGGGGTCCCAACCGGTGGCCGGCCAAGTAGATAGGATTGATTTTCACTTTGAAGTCAAAGTACATCTGCCTGAGAGGCCAGTGACCAACAGTCTGCAATAAAAAAGCCAAATCTAATAAAACATGTGCGTGCAAAACTCTAGTTCTTGTTCAAGACCAAAGTTCAGAAGTGAATAACAATCAGGACTTTCCACCAGAGTTTACAGTTGGCGAGCGTGAAGAAGAAGTAGATCTAAAGAAACCCAGCAGCTCGTTCAGACAAACCTGAGCTAATTTTTTCAATCAAAAGCAGCAACGTATTCGGTTAAAACCCCACTGCTAAATCACTCATTAAAAAAAAAATCACTTACATAACAGAATGAGGGAACATAATAATCTAAGGATTAGAACATAAAGCTGCAGAATGGATGCAGATAACGTGAATGCCACTTATTGTTCTCCATTAATTAACAGTCATGTATATGTCACCTTTTAAGTCTTCTGTTGTTTTCAGCTTGCACACACTGTCCCTGTACAGTATGAATGATTGTTTATCTTGTGTTTGAAACTTTCATGTATTGTAAATGATGTGTGGTGTGTTCTTTCCTCTCTAGACCTGACTTGATCCACTATGAGAAGCTTCAGAAATCCAACGCCATGTACAACTTGAACAATGCCTTCACTGTTGCCGAGGAGAAACTAGGCCTGACCAGTCTGCTGGATCCTGAAGGTGAGTTGTAAATCTCAGATCACTTTCATGGAAAATCCCCTCTACATAGATTTTGACTGAGTATTCGTTATTATTGATTCTGTCAATCAGTGACTATAAATGTTTAGCTGACAATGTTGCCAGAGAACTAATGTAGCCTTATGCATAAATTGCGTGTGCCACTACTCATCTGCTGTAACTGTTGCTTCCGTCAATGATGAACTGCATTTCTAGTGCCAGACTGTTTGTGTTAGCACTTATGACAGCTGCTTTATGCGTGTGTATGCTAATGGCTTTACTGAACCTGCAGTCCGTGTCAATTTTTTCTCAAGTTACAATGATGGACATTCTGTGTTGTTTTTGTTGGCACAGGAATGGAGCAACTATGTAGTCACCCATTTGTTATGAAGTTGGAACCTTTAATTGAATATATGAGAATTATCAGGGAAGGTAAGATAATAGGAAAAGGTACTGATCACCGTGCCTGACTGCTGTGACCTAGTATATGCAAAAGTATTAATCCACACCTCTACAAAGGGATCTGCTCCGAGGATTGATCTTGCCTTGACACAGGCCGGGGAGGGGGGGGGGGGAAATATTATTTAGCAGTCTTATTACACTGTTAAATTATTTCTGTCTTTTGTCTTACTGTTTATGCCATACATCATTGCAGAGAGGAGTTATTTGTTGTTTCCTGTCTTGTGCTAGTTATATAGCTTGTGTTAATGTAGTATCTCTTTTATTTACTCCCTCCAGCAGTCTCTTTATTTGTTGTCCTCTTGCCTTGCAGTTGTTCTTATGTAATACACTTTAGCTCCTGGCTGAATTTGTTCCATTCTGACAAGATGACCAAATCATTTGATTCTTTGATCTGTAAAGTCTTTCACCTCTACTATGCCTAGCATTTTTCTTAGTTCTGCATTGGTGATTCTGCTACCTCTTGTTTTTCCTGCCACTTTTCTTATGCATCTCATCTCGCATGTTGTCATCATCATGTAAATCACTGGGTTACCAGTTGCTGATGAACAGCTTCTTACTTCTTTGAGGGTCAGATGCAGTGGACTTTATGGTTGCATGCCTGAGGCCTGTCCAGTTAATTAGGTTATGTAGCCAGGTCTTTCTTGGTCTGGCTCCTCTCTTCCCCTCTGCTGATCCCTGTAGTTTTTTTTTTTTGGAGAGGCCATTAGGTCTTATTACATGTGTCTTACTACAGGTCCATAACATTGCACTTTCCATCTTGTCACTGTAGTTAAAAGAGGTTACTAGTCTAATATGCTGGTTAATTATCTGGTGAACCTTGTCATTGTGATGTGGTCTCTATGATCTGTTGGGCTTTTTTCTGAAAGAGCTCATTTCCAGTGCTTGTTTTGTCTATTCCAGTTCAGCTGTTGTAATTTAGTATTTATGTTTTTCAATTACAGATGTGAACGTGGAGTTCCCAGACGAGAAGTCAATCATCACTTATGTTGTCACCTACTACCACTACTTCTCCAAGATGAAGGCCGACTCTGTGCAGGGGAAACGAATTGGCAAGGTTGGTGGTGTTTCTTATTCCTCCTTTCCTGGCTCTCCGTCTGTTGTCTCTTTTAGTTCCAGCCATCCCATTTGACCCTCCAAGAGATCTTTTATATTTTGTCCACTAGTGCAATACTATAGCCCTCAGCCAACTCAGCCTTAATCATTAAATAGTACCACTGTATGATTGTACATTTGGGGCAGGGAGAAAATTAACAGAAGTCGGAAACTAAATCAACACAGCACACAATATGACTAGGGAACTCACTGATGGGGAAAGGTAGGACAAGCACAGATAGAACCAAACACTTCCACTAAAGTCTTCTGCAGTCAGTAAACTAAATTTAGGAGACACCAGTGTCTCTGTAAAAGGCACAATTTTTGTCTGGCCGTCCTCACCCTGTTTGGGAACAATCTATCTGGAGATGTCAACAACTTAATGATGACTGCTGCTTTCTTTAAATATATTCACATTAACATCAAAAAGTGTAGGAAAAAACAAACGAGAATCCTACGCAGCAAAACAAATAAAACTAACCACACAAACAGGTAATCCACATTCAGACACATGACAAGTCTTACCAGGTGCCTAGTAATTCTGCCAGTACCTTGACCGTTGCTCTTGTTGTGTTTAAGGTCATTGACAATGCTCTCAACACTGAAAGTATGATTGACCAGTATGAGAGCATGACCTCTGACCTGCTGGAGTGGATTGAGCAGACAATTGTCATCCTGAATGACAGACAGTTCGCCAACTCTCTCACCGGAGTTCAGCAACAGTTGGCTGCCTTCAGCACCTACAGAATTGTGGAAAAGCCACCCAAGTAAGTGCTTCACACATGTTTTATAAGAGTTTTACAGTAAAAGCAGTGCTCCACCCAAGTAAGTGCTTCACATATGTTTTATAGGAGTTTTACAGTAAAAGCAGTGCTCCACACAAGTAAGTGCTTCACATATGTTTTATAGGAGTTTTACAGTAAAAGCAGTGCTCCACCCAAGTAAGTGCTTCACACATGTTTTATAAGAGTTTTACAGTAAAAGCAGTGCTCCACCCAAGTAAGTGCTTCACATATGTTTTATAGGAGTTTTACAGTAAAAGCAGTGCTCCACCCAAGTAAGTGCTTCACATATGTTTTATAGGAGTTTTACAGCAGAAGTAGTTCTGCTCAAGGACATTTAACCAAGTGTTGTCTGTCTTTTGCTCAGCCAGAGTTTGTATCTTGTTTCTATGTGTTGTCTGTCTTTTGTTCAGCCACAGTTTGTATCTTGTTTCTATGTGTTGTCTGTCTTTTGCTCAGCCACAGTTCGTATCTTGTTTCTATGTGTTGTCTGTCTTTTGCTCAGCCACAGTTCGTATCTTGTTTCTATGTGTTGTCTGTCTTTTGCTCAGCCACAGTTTGTATCTTGTTTCTATGTGTTGTCTGTCTTTTTCTCAGCCACAGTTTGTATCTTGTTTCTATGTGTTGTCTGTCTTTTGCTCAGCCACAGTTTGTATCTTGTTTCTATGTGTTGTCTGTCTTTTGCTCAGCCACAGTTTGTATCTTGTTTCTATGTGCTGTCTTATCTTTTATTCAGCCAGAGTTTTCTATCTTGTTTCTGTGTGTTGTCTTTGCTTATTGTTCTTGTTATGAAAGTTTTGGTTCTTTGGATTCTCCATCTGTAGTTATGTGAACAGACTCTTGTTTAACACATGAGTATCATTAATACACATATTCTAAAATGTGATAGGTTAAACATGCTATAGGATATGTGATGCTAATTCAACAATAATGACATAATCTATGATCAAACATATCAGATAAACCACCAGTTAACCTCTGCTAATATTGTACACATAAACAGATGTACATAGCCTGTGATAGGATGTACAGATTAAGCATTGTGTACACATACCCTAGGATATTAAACATGGGCTGTCTGAGGGGAGTAGAGACATCTTCAGTGCCATAAGAGAGAGTAAAATGCTGTGAGGCTTTCGGTTTCATGGAAAACGATTCTTCACTTAATCGAGTGCATACCCTGGGTTTACCAATTGGAGCAGCAAGACAAGAAAAGCCATGTGGAAGCCACCCCTCATTAATATCAGTCAGAACAGAATTGGAGTTGCTAGCCCTAAAAACACTTTAAGACATATTCAGGAAAATATCAGAATAATTATGGTCATGTCTGATGTGTGGTCAAGATTATCCTTAAATGAACAATGAACATTAAATAGTGTACATCATCATCATCATCAGGTGCCTGCCGACTGGCGTGGGCGATCATGCCTCTCCATAATCTGCGATCTCCTGCAGCATGTATCAGTTCGTGTGCCTACACACCTCCATGCCATGCAACAAGACTGTCAAGCATCTTCTTTCGTTGTCTTCCTCTATTTTTCCTTCCACAGATCTTTCCAGTGGTCATAACATGTTCTATTTTCCCTCTTCTCATAACATGGCCGAAAAAAGATGTCTCCTGCTGATGTCTGTGATAAGTTGTCTTCGGGCTCTTTCAAAACCTCTTTGTTGCTCTTTTTGGCTGTCCAAGGAATTCTAAGCATTTTTCTGTAAAACCACATCTCTGAGGCCTCAAGAAATTGTTTGGCCTGCCTACTGATTGTAAACACCATTATATTGGGCAAATCAAATAAATATGTTCACATAGTGAAATAGTATTCAGTTTAGCTTAGTGCATGGTTCATTGACAGTTTGAGTTCAGTTTACCCCACGGTACAGTTTTGTATGAGTAATTAATTAGTCACTGAGAGAAGGAAGGGATTGGTCACTTCATCTCAGAAATTTAGTAATGGGAATTGCACTCTCATTCTTCTCCATTTTATGGTATTTACCATGTGATTGCTTCTCTACTTGGTAGTATCTGTTAAAAGAGAATAAGCACTGTGGGTTTGCCCAAAGGGCACTGTCATCAGCTGTAACAAATACAAAATGTTCTCTCTGCCATGACCAGGTTTGATGAGAAAGGCAACTTGGAGATTCTGTTATTCACCATCCAGAGCAAGATGAGAGCCAACAACCAGCGCCCCTACCTGCCCAGAGAAGGCAAACTGCTGTCGGACATCAACAAGGCCTGGGAGAGACTGGAGAAGGCAGAACATGAGAGAGAGCTCTCTCTCCGAGAAGAACTAATCAGGTCATTTGTACTTTCATTTACATTCTTTAATTGTATGTTTTATTGAGATACATTAATGTGAGCAACAAACGATAGAATTGGGGTTTGTGCCAACAAAACAAGTTTTAATTGCTTTTTTTTAAAATGATTAAATACATAATTGGATTATTGAACAAGTATATTAAAAAAATTGCTATGCATTTAAAAAATGAATATGATTTCAAAGACCAGAATATGGTTATCTTCTTCTTCTTCGCGTTCACCAGCTGTAAACTCTGGCGGAAGGTTCTGGTTGCTCGTCCATTACTGAACTGCACTGCAGTCCTGCTCCAGAACCTGAGAGTTGCGTGTGCATCGGTTTTACAGATCTCATTCTCTTGAATACAGACTGTTGG